ATAAGAGATATAAGCTCCTCATGTTTGACATCCATCCGTGAACAACGACGACTTGTCGATGCTTCAGTCTCGGCAGCTCATGTTCTGTCTACATCTGCATAGCCACATCTTCCTGCTAGTGATTGGACAACTCATTTAGCTTCACCATTGTCTTCGACATTTATATTGTCATCAGTAAGCCACCCATCGGCACCAATACCCACATCGGCACCTACATCAGCATCCGCACCAGCACCAGCACTGGCACTGGCTCCTGCACCGACTCTTGTGCTGACACTGACAATAGCACTTGCACCGACACCAGCACCGGCACCTGTACTTGAGCCGACAACGACAGCGGCACCTACACCCACATCGACCCCGAAATCTGACACCAGCACCCACCATGGACATATTAATTTACTGAGAAATGACTATCATGACTTGACAATACACTGATTATTTTTCTATTACCCATGAATTGATAACCCACTGAATCAATGAATTTGCTGATAAAATGACAAAATCTTGTAATTGTTGATCAAACATGTATTGTAATGAATGCACGCATCTCTCAACTTCTGAGCATATCAATATAAACAATGTATTGAAGTAACAACTAACTGCCCTTTCATAAGGCTGAAGAAGAAAAAATGACTACTCGTGACTACTTAATGTCATGAATTGAAATGACTAAACCCTGAATGAATGTCAGCAAACTATGTGGGGAAGTGACCAAGAATCTGAATAGGTTTTAACCTACCATATGCTGAAGTGACTAAACCCTAAATGAGTTTTTTCAGACCATGTGCTAAAATGACAACACAAATTAGAATGCCAAAAAGTGAAATGACGTTACACAAGTCTGATACATGACTAAACCCCAAATGGTCTCTCATGACTACAATGTCTTAATATTCACTGATATGACCTGTCTAGCAAACTAGGATTTGGACACTACTATTTAAACATCATATTTGTGGTTGATATGGCAAACAGAAAATTATGTCTACATCAAATTTTTCTACAAGATTTAACAATCGCAGTCATAAACGGGTTTAGTTATTACAAGAGTGAAACGATAATTACAAGAATGGGAGATTTTTTGATCCAAAAGAGTATTATGCAAAAGTACGATAAGAGTGGGTTTTTTGTGCTAAAAAATCAGACGAACTATTCACACAACTAAAAGAACTTGGCATACCAATGTCTCGTAGACGATCACTAACAATTCAATGCCGGAATAGAGAGGACTATAAATCAACAATAAAACATGTTCAAAGAGAGAATAATAGAATGTTGGTGCGTAGGTGTCGCTATTATATGCTCCAACAAGCAAAAGGCATGGTGGGAACTGCATATGGACGAAAGTTGACACCAGTTGAACAAAATAATATATTGTCTAATGCACAATACCTGTCAAATAATTATATGTCTAATGAAACTTAATGTAGTAAGTGTGCAATTATTTTTTCCAATGTCATATATTAAATAGTGGTAATCATTATTCATTTCTAAGATAGAAACCCAATGTAATCAGTGTAGTATGAAGTCATGTCAATCTTATGTAATTGAATTGTTATGTCATTACTTTATCAATGTGAAGTCAAATCATTGATTTATCAGTGTAGTCAGTCTAGTGTCAAGTCAGGTCAGTCCTTCTATCATTCAATTGTTATGTCATTATTTTATCACTGTGAAATCATATCATTACTTTATCGGAGTTGAGTCATGTTAGTCGTACGAAGTAATTCTCCTATCAAATTTATATATAATTGCATTTCGTGTCTATATAAACCATCCTTATTGATTGTGTACATCATAACCCAAAAAATGTCTAGGCGCACATCTAATAGGCAATCCAGTCAAACAACCCAAGATTCTTCATCACACAATGAACAACAATGTTCATCTTCAACCAATGAAGGTCAACGCTCGACTGGCCGAGTAGAATCATCGAACGTAGTTCGTTCAATTGAATCCTACACAGATTCTATAAGTATAACTTGATATGGACAAAAGCGTGAGTTCCGCAATGAATCCATTGACCCTTATCACTCATTCAGTCAAGTTGGACATGTATTTGTTAGGCATGCAATCGCCTATCTGCCTCCGAGTGTTTATATCGAACCTACACCAAAATGGCGACAATTATATGACAAACGTTGTGAGCTTGAAGTATATTACCGTTGGCATGGATTAATGGTACTAAAGGCACGTTCAATTGATATATATGATCAACAAAACTCTACCAACCATAACGAAATCATAGCAAGGCTTGAACGTGAAAATGATCAGATACAGCGTCAACTTGATCGTTTGCATGCAATTGAGCATTTCGATCTTGACTATGTTCAGATTCAAATTTTACAGGATCCGTTACTTATTTCTAATCCTGAACTTTCTAATTATTCCGATTTAAGTGATGATACATCTGATATTTTTATTCCATCAAGTTTATGTGTACTCGGTAACCCTCTATGTTGTTTTCTACATCAACCATAATATCGATACATTGTATTTCTTACAATCTCATGTAATAAAATTGGTTTGTTTAATGTATAAGTATCTTTTTTCATATTTTCATGTGTTTTTACACTTTTGTAGGTCAATTCTCATTGTTCGATAAACTTATAACATAAAATTAGAATATATAATTTTTTAACATATACTAAACAAATTTCTCAAAATTGGTCACAAAATTCATTTACTACACACGCAAATAATATTTTAAGCATTTTTTGGTAATATACTGCACTGAATTGATTAACTTTTTTAAATTTATAACTTGATTTTTTAGTAGCTTTCAAAATTTATAAATTTATGTACGAAACATGCTTTAATAATATATTTTTTAGTTAAAAAAAACACTATTGAACAAAAAATCAAAATAATTAACAAACTCGTCAGTTGCGTTATTAAAAAAATAGAGGGTTTTTAGGGTTTTTAATTTTTTAGGGTTCTTATGGTTTTTAATTTTTTTAGGGTTTTTATTTTTTATTTTTTATTTTTTAGTTTTTATTTTTTATTTTTTGAAGGTTCTTAGGATTTATTTTTATTTTTATTTTAGACATTTTTGAAAACGTCACTTGGAATTACGTTTTAAAAAAGTCACTCCAAGTGACATTTTCTAGTCAATAATTTTTTTAATGCTGGTTATGTTTGCCGTTTTAATTTACTTTGTTTAAACATCATTTTCATTAACACTTTTAAAAATATTATTAGAAATGACAATTTTAGTAAAAAAATATATACATATATAATTTAAAATTATCATTTCAAATAACGTTTTAATTCGTAAAAGCACCCTTCNAACCCAAGATTCTTCATCACACAATGAACAACAATGTTCATCTTCAACCAATGAAGGTCAACGCTCGACTGGCCGAGTAGAATCATCGAACGTAGTTCGTTCAATTGAATCCTACACAGATTCTATAAGTATAACTTGATATGGACAAAAGCGTGAGTTCCGCAATGAATCCATTGACCCTTATCACTCATTCAGTCAAGTTGGACATGTATTTGTTAGGCATGCAATCGCCTATCTGCCTCCGAGTGTTTATATCGAACCTACACCAAAATGGCGACAATTATATGACAAACGTTGTGAGCTTGAAGTATATTACCGTTGGCATGGATTAATGGTACTAAAGGCACGTTCAATTGATATATATGATCAACAAAACTCTACCAACCATAACGAAATCATAGCAAGGCTTGAACGTGAAAATGATCAGATACAGCGTCAACTTGATCGTTTGCATGCAATTGAGCATTTCGATCTTGACTATGTTCAGATTCAAATTTTACAGGATCCGTTACTTATTTCTAATCCTGAACTTTCTAATTATTCCGATTTAAGTGATGATACATCTGATATTTTTATTCCATCAAGTTTATGTGTACTCGGTAACCCTCTATGTTGTTTTCTACATCAACCATAATATCGATACATTGTATTTCTTACAATCTCATGTAATAAAATTGGTTTGTTTAATGTATAAGTATCTTTTTTCATATTTTCATGTGTTTTTACACTTTTGTAGGTCAATTCTCATTGTTCGATAAACTTATAACATAAAATTAGAATATATAATTTTTTAACATATACTAAACAAATTTCTCAAAATTGGTCACAAAATTCATTTACTACACACGCAAATAATATTTTAAGCATTTTTTGGTAATATACTGCACTGAATTGATTAACTTTTTTAAATTTATAACTTGATTTTTTAGTAGCTTTCAAAATTTATAAATTTATGTACGAAACATGCTTTAATAATATATTTTTTAGTTAAAAAAAACACTATTGAACAAAAAATCAAAATAATTAACAAACTCGTCAGTTGCGTTATTAAAAAAATAGAGGGTTTTTAGGGTTTTTAATTTTTTAGGGTTCTTATGGTTTTTAATTTTTTTAGGGTTTTTATTTTTTATTTTTTATTTTTTAGTTTTTATTTTTTATTTTTTGAAGGTTCTTAGGATTTATTTTTATTTTTATTTTAGACATTTTTGAAAACGTCACTTGGAATTACGTTTTAAAAAAGTCACTCCAAGTGACATTTTCTAGTCAATAATTTTTTTAATGCTGGTTATGTTTGCCGTTTTAATTTACTTTGTTTAAACATCATTTTCATTAACACTTTTAAAAATATTATTAGAAATGACAATTTTAGTAAAAAAATATATACATATATAATTTAAAATTATCATTTCAAATAACGTTTTAATTCGTAAAAGCACCCTTCTAAAGGACGTTTCTGATAAGAGTAATGGTACATAGACTTAAAAAGTAAACTTAAAAACTAGACTTGATAATCTCAACCATTGATTTTACTGTAGATCTCAACATTTATTGGGACTCACTATCTATTCAATGATTGAAATTATCAAGTCTAATTTTCAAGTCTAATTTTTAAATCCATAAATCCATAAATCCATGTAACATTACTTTTCTAATAAAAATAGTAAGTTTAGAAAATATGTTTAAAATTGAGAGAGTTTGGGAATAAAGTTGTTGGGAAAGCTCGTTTTGGTGAAAAGCTCGGTGTTCAGCAGCAAAACAACGTCGGTCAAGAACATAGTGAGAACTGTGAAGAAACAATGGATCCTCGTAGCTGGCACAAAGTAGCTGCTATATCTGGTACTGTAACCCTCTCTCTCTCTCTCTCTCTAAACCCTTTATGCTATTTGTATATGTGTATATGTATGTATGGATAATTGCTTTTGAGGGTATCTGTGGATTTATTTAACGAAAATGGATTGCATAATTTGGGGAAAAATAGTTGAAAACAGGAATGGCGGCTCTTGGTCTGGGGGCATATGGTGCCCATGGCTTCAAACCAAAAAACGCCGCTTACGAAGAGGTACCCTTTTTTCATTTTATCTTTACCAATTATTTGTTTCCATTTCTTTGCTTTTGAGTTGAAGAAAATAGAAATACCCATGTTGATTTTGTCCCTCATTTTGTTGTAAATTATGATGATGGAAGGTTTGGCACACAGCATCTCTCTACCACTTGGTTCACACAGCAGCCCTTGTTGCTGCCCCAATCACCAACCACCCCAACATTGTGGGTGCCCTCTTCTCTATTTGTTCCAATACCTAACAGAATTTTCTGTGTATCTATGTACAAGAAAATAGGTGCTAATCCTGCCTATTATGTTTGGTTGTAGTTTGGAGGCCTTTTGACTACTGGAATTCTGGCTTTCTCTGGGACGTAAGTGCTAGCCCTTCACATTTGTTGAATAGTGAATACTTATCCCCATAATCACATAGCAAAAAGGACGGATGTTTCACTAAAACTCGAGGTTTTTGTGTCAATTTAATTAGCTCCACACATTTTGGTTGAATGATAATGTGTTTGCAAGGGCCCTTATGTATTTATGTTCAGCTTCCACACCTCTAAAAATTAGGCCTTTTAGAGTAGTGTAAGATTTTGAGATCCATTTGTGATATGTGAATGTGTATTTGAAAGATGTTGAAAAGAAAAGATGTGAAACTAGATGAGAAGAGTTATAACGCTCCTCTAGGCCTCCAAAAATTAGCCCATTTTGATATTGCTATGGTTGTTATAAGTGTATGTTGGTGTATTATGATAAAATGCCTTTGATCCAGGCTTCTCTGTTTTGATTTCCTCTTCTACCTCTTATCCCAATAGCAAGTATAAGCAACAAGATTTTTCTTAATGATAGTTGGGGTACTAGGTGGAGGAGAGGCCCTCTGTTTACCATTTAGATGAGAAAGGAATTCAATTTTGTCATTAGTGTGTTTACATGGCGAATTTACTAATTACGCTAATAATCTCATAAATCTCAAGGAGAGAGATGCTTAATTTGAGAAATCGCATGAATCTCTTAGAGATTCACTTCAATAATTGGTCGAGGTATATCGAATGCGGAAATGCCCATATTTGATTGCTATGATGGGGCTGAGCAATCCGAGAAAGTAAACCCACATGTGCCATTGAAGTGCCTTGCTTATTAAATAGGCTCATGTTATTTTTGGAATCACTTTTTTGCTTTGGATACTTTGAAGAAAGAAAGTTCCATTAATTACATCTTGATTATAAAATAATTTGAGTTGAAACTAGAGAGAATTCTAGATTTTTTCTTTAAATTGGAGGAACGCTGGGATTTTGTAGGTGTTATGCTGTGGCATTGCTTGAAGACCGAAAGTACTCCACCTTAGCACCATTTGGTGGATTTGCTTTTATTGCTGCTTGGGCAAGCTTGCTGTTTTAGGAATGGCAGCTGCCTCCGACAGGGAATTTGTATTTGCTGCATTCATAAAGTTAGTAGTGCATCTCTGTTGGCATTAAGGTCTTGTTGGCATTAAGGTCTTGGACACTAGTACTTGGACAAGCCCCTCATGTTTGGGCACCAGATCACAAAAATTCCAGCCACAGAATGTTTAAAGTATGTTCTACCAGTGGTTTGTATACTTCTATAGAATCTCAATGAATTTGTTGCCAAATGACTTTCTGTTGATATTTGTCTCGCTTCAAAGATGCTGTAACATGTTATAACTATCTACCTTATCTATATATGATGATTGTTGCAGTTGCATTCCACTTTATACGCCTATGTATAATGCATTCCACTTTATACGCCTATGTATCGGTGGGGATGTTAAGGCTGCCAACATGAACAACTGTTTGAACCACATTAGGCATCCCCTGAAACATTAGATCCTCAAATGTTCCACTCTCTGGATCATAAGAAACTAGATTTCCACCTCTGTGCTCTAGCAAGATCCTACCGTTCTTCAGAAAACAGAGGATTTGAACCATTCTTCTTTTCAAAACATTGTTCCAACTCCTGAATGATTGCTGCCAATCTGGACTTATAAACTTTGGCAAGTGAGCCGCAATGTTGTACAGTTTGATCCAAGACTCTTTAACATCATATTCTTTCATAACCCAAATTTCCAAGCTCGAATGATGCCTAGGTGCGGATATCGAAAGACACCCTCCGAGAACTGTCAAATCATAATTACACCCAGTTAGGCCAACAGGTCTTGGTACTTTTCTGAATTGCTCATCTCTTTAGTCAAGAGAAAGGATGATTCTGCTACGGACTCCATGATAGGTGCCCACTCGACTTACCCAGTGAAGCCTTCCATTCACTGAAGCTTCTGATAACCACCTTCTATCTAGCTTGTAAGGTACTTTTCCAATACTCCTCCATGTGTTACTGCACAGACTAAGTATTTGAACATCCGAGAATCGAAAACCACGGGGTCTGAATTTGGGATAATGCCAGGGCCTATTATATTCATCATATGCATTGTTATAGTAAACTATTTTGATCACCTTGTACTCATTGGTAGCTGGATGAAACCCAAACCCAAAAATCACCTCTTGTTCTTTAAAATGAAAGGATTTGGGCAGCTCCTTGAGGTCTCTAGTAAAAGGGTTGTAGATATGTATTGCGTCGCAGAATAACGAGTCAAATAAGCATAGTAAGCCATTGCATGAGCCTACCACATCAAACTCTGGCATGGAAGCAGAGAAAGGAGCCTGAATCTTTCTCACATTCTCTGTGTCATCAAGATCAGAAAGTTCAACAAAGTAAAGCTGGTTTCGAATTGGATAATCGGAATGAAAGATCAGGCACGAATTGTTCCTTATCGCCCGGGCGAGGTGCAAGTTAACAAGATGAAGATCATGTGACAGCATATTCCAGGCTCTGCACACAACCTTAGATTGAAGGAGATATGTTATAGGTAGCCTCGAAAGTATGTCGATGGAGATTTCTTGACGCAGAGTTTCCAACCCTTTTGTTGGTTGATCTTCTTTTGTCTTGCATTTTCTTTTCTTGATTTGTTTCTCATCAGCCAAGTCCATGGCTCATGAGAGAGAGAGAGAGAGAGAGAGAGAATGTTTGGTAATGACGTATTAGTTCGTATTATAGGAGGCGGAAACTGCAAGAGAGTATTACTGGCTGTTTGTGGGACCACTGTTGAATAATCTCTTGGAAGCAACGTGTGTATTTTTTGGCAATTTTGGCCGATGAAAATTTTGTATATGACCAAACCACATGCATCGGGTAAATCTATAACTCTCTTGCTAAAGTTGAGGATGAGATCTAGAGATATTAATCCTTAAATTCTTCATATGCGTTATATAGAAAACTTACATCTCACATTGAATGATTAAAACTACCCAAGATTATTTTATATGCAGAAGGGACTTCTACATTCATAGTCAATTAAATTTAAGTAAGATGGTTTGATAAGGTATTAGAATTAGGTCTTACAAACTCAAGTCTCAAACGAAGGAGGGTGTAAAGAAAGGTAATATCCCACGTTAAATGATTAGGACCAATCAAGATTGAATTATATATTTAAGTGATCTCTCCAATCATTACTAATTGATTTTGAGCTCAGGTAACTAGGAATCAGAGGAGATAGGAGTGGCCGTGTAAAAGGTTTGGACTTGCTCAGAATCTGTCAAATATGAGCCCTTCTTTCTCTATTCATTCTAGAGCCTATCTTGATAAACATGTGTCACAACGCCTTATCTTTTGAGTGAGGGAAGTCGGAGCATTGGTCAAGGGAGAGCAGCCACCCAACTATTTAATCAAGTAGTACGGTGACAATTTTCAACACGACCCCAACCTTATATGACATAAACCCAAAAAAAATATGATCTAATGGTTGTATGATCTACAGTTGAAATGATATAACCTTCTACCCACATAGCAATACTTTCTGAAGAACCAAGAAGAAAATGCATCGTAGTGTATGAACTATGAAATGAAGTCAATCTTCTCTGTTCCAGCAAGGCATTGCTATAGACAAGCCTTGTAGTATCACCCATTAACAAAAATACTTGGAAACAATTCCTTCTTTTCTCTCTGAGTAATACATACTTCTAGCTAGCATCATCAATCCAAACATTTTCCAGGAAAGAGAGAATGTTAGGAAAAACTGAGCTGTTAGAAGCACCCACCTCTCTTTGCCAGGCCACCAGCTGCGNTAGGAGGCGGAAACTGCAAGAGAGTATTACTGGCTGTTTGTGGGACCACTGTTGAATAATCTCTTGGAAGCAACGTGTGTATTTTTTGGCAATTTTGGCCGATGAAAATTTTGTATATGACCAAACCACATGCATCGGGTAAATCTATAACTCTCTTGCTAAAGTTGAGGATGAGATCTAGAGATATTAATCCTTAAATTCTTCATATGCGTTATATAGAAAACTTACATCTCACATTGAATGATTAAAACTACCCAAGATTATTTTATATGCAGAAGGGACTTCTACATTCATAGTCAATTAAATTTAAGTAAGATGGTTTGATAAGGTATTAGAATTAGGTCTTACAAACTCAAGTCTCAAACGAAGGAGGGTGTAAAGAAAGGTAATATCCCACGTTAAATGATTAGGACCAATCAAGATTGAATTATATATTTAAGTGATCTCTCCAATCATTACTAATTGATTTTGAGCTCAGGTAACTAGGAATCAGAGGAGATAGGAGTGGCCGTGTAAAAGGTTTGGACTTGCTCAGAATCTGTCAAATATGAGCCCTTCTTTCTCTATTCATTCTAGAGCCTATCTTGATAAACATGTGTCACAACGCCTTATCTTTTGAGTGAGGGAAGTCGGAGCATTGGTCAAGGGAGAGCAGCCACCCAACTATTTAATCAAGTAGTACGGTGACAATTTTCAACACGACCCCAACCTTATATGACATAAACCCAAAAAAAATATGATCTAATGGTTGTATGATCTACAGTTGAAATGATATAACCTTCTACCCACATAGCAATACTTTCTGAAGAACCAAGAAGAAAATGCATCGTAGTGTATGAACTATGAAATGAAGTCAATCTTCTCTGTTCCAGCAAGGCATTGCTATAGACAAGCCTTGTAGTATCACCCATTAACAAAAATACTTGGAAACAATTCCTTCTTTTCTCTCTGAGTAATACATACTTCTAGCTAGCATCATCAATCCAAACATTTTCCAGGAAAGAGAGAATGTTAGGAAAAACTGAGCTGTTAGAAGCACCCACCTCTCTTTGCCAGGCCACCAGCTGCGGTATTGCCATCCCCTAAACGCATGCCACCCGATTGGCTTGAACTTTGGTTAGAAACCATCTGCAATCATGCACAACAGAAGAGAATTATTCCACATTTGAAACATGGTGACAACAGCTTGCTGATTCATGTCAATTTTCGTTTGGTTCATCACAAAATATGTATTCCTCTGTACACTTCCTTGAGACTCACTTCTTTTCTAACATTGCCCTGCGTGTCAACATAACTATATCCGAATCTAATAAAATGAACAATTTCATATGACATCTCAAGATTCGGGTTCTATTTACAAGCATTCTTTCCACCAAAATTGTACGCGAGAAAAGAATATATGGCTATTTTACCATCATAAAGAAGAATTTAGGGTAATAAAAAAAAATGGGGGCAGTAAGATACAATTTGACATATGGGGGGTTACATACAACTTTATAAGCTAAGCCTCTATTCCATTATTGTGTCCTCAGAAAGTGATATGGGATGGATAGCTATAGGTGGCGTCGAAAAGTTGTTGGCTGCACTCCAAAGGTATCCCAATGCATTATTAGCCATCCACCATGGTCGCAACCCTGCATTCCTGAAACCAAATAAGCATTAGTAAACGTCCATGCAGGGACGAGTTCTTGAATGACAATAATAAACATAGTCACAAATTTTTTGAACCTAGGAACAAAATACAAGAATTGAAGTTTCTCTTGTTCTTTGAACTGAGCACACCTATTTTAGCAATTTTTTGTGTCAAGCACCACTTGAATCGTCAAACTGCAATTTTTTGACATTTTCAGGTGTTCACATCTTAAATGAGCAATGTTATGTAAAGACAGTGTTTCAACACTTGTGGAACAATGAATAAAAAAGGGCATGATGAATCAATCTGTAGAATGTTCATAAATAAAAATAAAACTACGTTTTTTATAAGATAGAGAGGACATCACCCAAGAATTCCTACTTGCAGACTGTGATAATAGAATATTGCATATACAAAAGATAAAACTGGATTTTAGCCAGAAAGAAGAGGGAGGTAACTAACAAGAAAAGTAACGAAAGATGGATAAGCTTTGGTTTAGCCCATAAGCAACAGAAAAATGCATTACAATATGGAAAATTCGACTCCTCGAAGCATGTCCACATCTAAAATAAGAGTGCAACGTTGAAAAGTTACCACATAAAGCATGTCGAGCTACCATAGCAGTGAGGGATGTCAGTCGTCAGACAACCAAAATCCCTTTTACGTTAATCCAAAAATAGCTTGGATTAGCAGTCAAGCTGGACCAGCATCAATGAACTTCTGCCAAGTAAGTCTCAGTCCCACTAATCAACCAGACACGAAGAAACGTGCGACTGCTGAATAAAGCTGCTCTTCTCCAAATGGCTTTGATACATAACCATCCATTCCGCACTTCATGCACCTTTCATTTGTGGATTGAATCACATCAGCCGTCATTGCTAATATTGGTGTGTGCCAATGAGCCATGTTGACAAACGTGTCATTTGACACTTCACCAGTATCTATTTTTTCATTGAATTTGCTTTCTACACTGCGGATTTGTCGTGTAGCTTCAAACCTGCATAATCAAAAGACTACTATTTATACCCACGAAAGAGAATCAAAAGGAAACCCTATCGAGGAAATGATCAACTAGTACTCTTTTCATTTATACCATATAGACATATGACTTTTTTGGTTGCTGATCTACTTACAGACCCTTAGTGAATCATAAAGAACACGGTCTCCACACCAAGTGCCTCCACAAAAGAATACAACTAGAAACAAAAAGTCCCAGGTGCCTAGCCATGAAGGAAATTTTTTTTTTTGAATTTGCTAGCTGTCTCTAGGGTGGTGATTTTTCCAGAGGAAATCAGCTGCCTACGCACATAGGTTTTTTTTCTTTATTGGGCATTTCCGCGCCCGGGGGGGGGGGGGGTGTGGTTGTGGAGATGCAGTCATGCTGATTACCCATCCATTTCTGGCATTTGGAGATCCATGAAGCAAGCATCAAACTGGTGTGGTGGTTTAAGCATTGTTAAAGCAGCCTTCCCACTTTCTACACATGTGACAACTGCTCCAAACTTCTTCAGAGTACCTTGTGCAACTCTTCTGTTCACATCATTATCATCCACCACCAATATTTTCTTATCTTTAAGTAGATTTCCACAGGTTGACAGTATTCCTGTTGTTACTTGTGTATTCCTTCCAATTCCAGTGGCTTCTTGAAAGCAGCAAATTAAACTACTCAACCGAAGAGGCTTTGTTACCACACTATCCACTAAAGCAGCTGATTTGAGCTCATTGCGCTCTGTAGAGCTTACGCAGGTTGCTATGAGAAATATCTTTGGAGGGACTTCTAGGACTTCAGTGCAGCCATTGGGTCTAAACTCTTTCAGCAGACGTCGGAATGTGACTCCAGTCTCCTGATTCCAAATGTCTTCGTCAACAAGAACCACAGCTAAATGCTCTGAATCACTGTGGACAAGATGACTGCAATACTTAGCAAAATTGAGAACATAATATAATACCGAGGTTAAAATATACATATTCACATAACTGACATATTTAGTAACTACCTCCATTAGTTTTGAGACAAAATGCAAAGTCACAGGCAACCTCAGAAAGAAAACATATATTTTGGAACAGCTACAGTCATTGTTAATTCACAAGCAAAAAGGATTATGAGTCAAAATAAGACAAGATTACCAATTAACGAATTCACAAGAGTCGGTATCTCCATCCACTACTTTACCGAGGTTCGACAAATCTTAATCTTTCCCTAAGATCAGACACTAATTTCTTTTCTATTCTCTCCATACAAAACAACATAATTATTTCTTTAATTGCAATTTCAACTTTGTTGTTTAAATTGGTTCAAGATGTAGATTTTTCAGAACAGTTCATGTAAGTCAAATAAGCAAACAATTATATACATATTTTCTTAACCAAAAGATATCAGTAGACTAAGGTAGAGTTTTTTAAAAGGATATCATAGATGATAATTTTTAAAGAGAAGCAATACTGTTGTCATTGATGTTGCAGTAACCTTATTTAATGATGGTTGAGTCAATGACAGGGGCGGCCCAACATAGGGGGGCCCTAGGTGAAAATTTTCAAATAAGGCCCCTATTAATATACTTTTACAGCAGTATAAATAATATAAATAATAATAAATAATTTTCAAATATGTTTTATCTATTTTTTTTCTTTTTGAAATTCAGAAATATTAATTGAATTTTTGTAATCGAGTTTTATGCATTAAAATTCAATTAACAAAACTCGAATCCTGGACCAAATGTAATCAGGTGATAACACATTTTTCGTATACCATAAACATTGGGCAAGATAAAAAATATCAGTTTGAACTCTAAGGCCCTAAATATTTTTGTTAGAAATTATAATACAATAATGTTACTTGTATTTAATCTAAGGACCTAATTTTGACAACTAGTAAATTGTGGTTATTCGATTGCTAGTGAACTTATTCAATTTTAGTCCCTATTACTAATTCAATGGTCAAAATGCATTAAGTTCTCAAATTAAACCCAAAAATTAAGTCTAGTAATATTGTACACAAGTTTATTTTGGGGCCCCAAATTTTTTTTCCCATTTGGGGGCCCTAGGAAATGGCCTCACTGCTCTATGAATACACAAATAAATAAACCGACAGGTTCAAACCAACTATAAAACCTTTCCAGCAAATATGCATAGTCAAATAAATCTACCTTGTCCTGAAGTTAGAAGATAGATAAGAACATGCAGCATCCACACTGGAAGTTATATCCACCGATATCCCTAATCTCTCAAGATGATATCTTGTGACCTCGGCTCGGATGCATTTCCCATCAACGACCAATGCTTTCAACCCCTGGAAACCTGAAACAGATGGATTCTGCTGCTGCCACTTTATATCCAGGGAACTCATTTCTGCTCTAATGAAAGCTGCAGTAAACGAAAAGGTACTGCCAGTCCCAGTTTCACTTACAAACCCAATTTCTCCATGCATGAGTTTCACCAAACGCTCACTAATGCTCAATCCTATACCAGTCCCGCCATATGTTCGTGATGTGGAACTGTCAGCCTGCATAAAAGGCATGAAAATGCGACCCTGTGCTTCTGGAAGGATTCCCACACCTGTATCTTCAACAGACACTAATAATTTGATCATTCCTGTTTCCGTCATCGCATCTGTGCCACTCAACTTCTTGAAATTCTCCCAGCTTTTCCATCTGTTAACCACAGGAAGGCCACTCAATGTATTAGGACACGTGTTTGAATGGTCTTGAACTAGGGTCACACTTTGTCTCAGCACTCCATCCATCACATCAAGTGGCAGCCTCACTTCATCTGCTAGATGCACCGACACAAATATGTGCCCTTTGTCATGTGTGAACTGCAATGGAAGCAAGTAATAACTTAGTAAACTAGAAACATGAAAACAAATCATTGTTTCCCAAAAGAGAACTACTTGCCAGTATAGTAATTAGCATCGTACGATACGCGATACGTATCGTACGATACGTCACGATACACTTGAAAAACGATACGTATCGTGTCTCTGCATCGTTTTTGCACCGTATCGTACGATACACGATACAATACGATACGTGACAATTTTTTATTTTTTTTGGTTGAAATGACATTGTTTTACCCTAAGACTTATTTTTAAATCACTAACTAGTGAAACAACGTCATTTCAGTGGTTATAGTTTAAAAAAAATAAATAAAATCTAATGTTAATGTTGTTCAATTGAATTCAAAATTTTTGATTAATATTAAAGTTATTTTATGTTAAAAGTTTGAATTAGAGGTCTTTACATTTTGATATTACTGAACTATGTTAAAAATTTGAATAGTTAATGGAATATTAATGAAATACTATGTTATTATGAGTCTATGACTTTTTTATAAAGGTACATACATATATTTTATTAATAATTATTTAAAAATTAAAATTGTGCGTATCTTACGATACACGATACGATACACTTTTTTAAAAGCGACGCCTTCCGATACACGATTTGACAACTATGCTTGTCAGATAGGAAAATAGTTTGTTCCAGAGAGTTTTCTGCTCTGGCTTGACTCCAGTGTAGGCCCTGTTGAGCAACATCCACATGCACCAACTATATTGCTAGAAACTGGCAGTAGTTTATGTTGCTATTGACCGGAAGACTAGTTAAGTCCCGTAGTTATCTAGTCCATAAGTGATATTTTCACTTGAAACTCCACATCCTCCATTCACCCCCCAAAACCTATTTTCTCTTTTGATCTATGTTAGAATTCTTATTTTATGTTATTCGTAGTGTAGAGTATTGATGTAATTATTCATAATATTAGTTTATTATAAATAAGAGAGTGCATGGCATTATAGCTCATACTCAAAAGATTATTCCCATTTTTTTTCTCTCTTTCTTCTTCTCCTCCTCTTACCACCTCTACAATTTAAACTTGGTACCAGAGCATTGTTCTTCAAATTTGATCTTAAACCTTGCCTCTGATGTTGACTATTAAACCTACACCACCTACCTATCCTCTTCCTCCCTTATTTCTTTTTCTTTTCTACTATGAGATGCTAGGCCCATAATCATGAAACTAGGGAATTATGCCCTATTATATATGAACAGTGGTCGTGGGTCAGCAGTTGTGTCTGTGCTATGGGTCACTTGATTTGGGCTATTGGTTGCCCAATCTCCCCCTCCTTGGTGATTTTTTTGGGTTGCTGCTATAGTTAATGGTACTTGATTCCAAAGGGTGACAATCAATTGTGATTTAATTGATTGTGTTGTGGTCGTTGTCATCGTCGAAGTTTGAACTAGGATCTACAAGTTGATCTCGCAAAGAAGATCGATAGTGTCTTTGGGAGGGGGGGAGGTTGGTTATTTCCAGAAGCCTTGTGATCAGCGGCTCCAAATGATTGAGATATAACGCTTGTTTTGGTTTGGCTGGTGATCAACGGCAGGATGGTCACTGTTGTTTGTGGTGGTTATTGACAGTGTTTATGATGGCCGTCATCACTGGGGAGCTAGGATCCACTCGTCTGACTCGCAAAAAAGACAAGATCCATATCTCTATTGGGTTACTTCTTCTTCAAGTCAATATAAAAGGGGGACCCGATTTTGGTGGCATTTATCACATTTCTCCTATTTCTTCAACTTCTTAGCCCATTCATTAGTTTCTTTGGGCACTATCGGCCAGTTCATCAATTTTTTTGCCTCAGATCAGTTATCTTATGGCCAGTTCAGCATTCTTTAGCCCAAGTTCTTCTCCTTTTTGTCCGGTTTTGTAGTGGTCCATAGTTTTCAAGGCTTCTCTCTCTGGTCAGCTTCTATTTAGATTATTTGGCTACGGATTGGTTCCAAACTATTGATTTGGTACCCTTGGTGTTGATTTGGGCATTCTCAATTGTGATGTGTGATTTGTTATNTTTTTAAAAGCGACGCCTTCCGATACACGATTTGACAACTATGCTTGTCAGATAGGAAAATAGTTTGTTCCAGAGAGTTTTCTGCTCTGGCTTGACTCCAGTGTAGGCCCTGTTGAGCAACATCCACATGCACCAACTATATTGCTAGAAACTGGCAGTAGTTTATGTTGCTATTGACCGGAAGACTAGTTAAGTCCCGTAGTTATCTAGTCCATAAGTGATATTTTCACTTGAAACTCCACATCCTCCATTCACCCCCCAAAACCTATTTTCTCTTTTGATCTATGTTAGAATTCTTATTTTATGTTATTCGTAGTGTAGAGTATTGATGTAATTATTCATAATATTAGTTTATTATAAATAAGAGAGTGCATGGCATTATAGCTCATACTCAAAAGATTATTCCCATTTTTTTTCTCTCTTTCTTCTTCTCCTCCTCTTACCACCTCTACAATTTAAACTTGGTACCAGAGCATTGTTCTTCAAATTTGATCTTAAACCTTGCCTCTGATGTTGACTATTAAACCTACACCACCTACCTATCCTCTTCCTCCCTTATTTCTTTTTCTTTTCTACTATGAGATGCTAGGCCCATAATCATGAAACTAGGGAATTATGCCCTATTATATATGAACAGTGGTCGTGGGTCAGCAGTTGTGTCTGTGCTATGGGTCACTTGATTTGGGCTATTGGTTGCCCAATCTCCCCCTCCTTGGTGATTTTTTTGGGTTGCTGCTATAGTTAATGGTACTTGATTCCAAAGGGTGACAATCAATTGTGATTTAATTGATTGTGTTGTGGTCGTTGTCATCGTCGAAGTTTGAACTAGGATCTACAAGTTGATCTCGCAAAGAAGATCGATAGTGTCTTTGGGAGGGGGGGAGGTTGGTTATTTCCAGAAGCCTTGTGATCAGCGGCTCCAAATGATTGAGATATAACGCTTGTTTTGGTTTGGCTGGTGATCAACGGCAGGATGGTCACTGTTGTTTGTGGTGGTTATTGACAGTGTTTATGATGGCCGTCATCACTGGGGAGCTAGGATCCACTCGTCTGACTCGCAAAAAAGACAAGATCCATATCTCTATTGGGTTACTTCTTCTTCAAGTCAATATAAAAGGGGGACCCGATTTTGGTGGCATTTATCACATTTCTCCTATTTCTTCAACTTCTTAGCCCATTCATTAGTTTCTTTGGGCACTATCGGCCAGTTCATCAATTTTTTTGCCTCAGATCAGTTATCTTATGGCCAGTTCAGCATTCTTTAGCCCAAGTTCTTCTCCTTTTTGTCCGGTTTTGTAGTGGTCCATAGTTTTCAAGGCTTCTCTCTCTGGTCAGCTTCTATTTAGATTATTTGGCTACGGATTGGTTCCAAACTATTGATTTGGTACCCTTGGTGTTGATTTGGGCATTCTCAATTGTGATGTGTGATTTGTTATTTTTTAAATATATAGCCTTTGTGGTTCTTGAACCTTGGTGGGTTTCTTAATGACGACTCTGAATGGTGGTAAAAGTTGTCGTTGCTCTAGTAATGGTCATTCTTCTAAGTGAAAGTGTATTTAGTGTGGTGGAATAGGGCATACAAAGAATTATTGTTAGGACAAGTATGGGAGACCGACATATGCTAATTATGTTGTTCATGATTCTTTGGGTTCTCCACTGCACCTACCAATGGTCCAATTTCATCTTCAAATGCCTCTCATAGTGATCTTTCCTCTCTTGATTCAACAACTTACCCACCAGCTATCATCACACTCTCAACATATATCAGTTTCTACAACGAGTCTTGCTAAAGAAAGTAACTTTGTCATTGTGATAGCTCAACCTTCTTCATCATCTTGGAATTTGGAACATTAACTCAAAAGCTAATGCTCATATGTCTAATATTTCTTCCCTATTTTCTAATTTTCACTCATCTAACTCTCGTATATTGTGTAAGCTAATGGCTCATTTTGACCGATACATGGGACCGACGATCTCCGATCTACACAATCTATGTCATTAACCTCTGATTTGTTTGTTCCTAATTTTTCATTTAATTTGTTATCTATGAGTCAACAAACCAAGTCATTACAGTGTTCCATAACCTACTCTCCATGTTCTTAGGTTTTTCAAGACCTCCAGACAAAGAAAGTGATTGGTTTAGGGCATGAGAGCAATGGCATGTACTACTTAGATACTGGTGGCTCTGCTTCTGCCTTAAGTGCTACCGTGTTCCTTCTTTAGTGGCACTTCTAACTGGGTCATCACTCCTTGCGAAAGTTGAGTCAAGTTATTTCTAGTTTAAGTCATTTGTCGGTGATAGAATGTGTCAATTAGGCAAAAACCACCATAGTTGGCGTCAGTCTAGTCCATTTCATGTTGTTCAGCCAAATATTTGGGGTCCTACAAGAGTCAAAAGTATTTATGGATTTCAATATTTTGTAATCTTTGTTGATAATTTTTCTCGTATGACTTGGTTGTGTCTTATGAAAGACAATCTAAATTGCCTAAGGTCTTTACCATCTTTTATAATAAAATTTTGGTTCAATTTGATGCACGTATTAAAATTATATGGTTGTTTGTTAAATTTTTTTTGTGCATACCATTGCAATATCCATCAAACCACTCGTCTTTATATATCCCCCAAACAAAATGACATTGTCGAACATAAACATTGTTATTTGTTGAATGTTGACCGAACATTGATGTTTAACATGCATGTGTCAAAACCATATTAGGCCGATATTGTTCTTCAATTCGTCTCATTAATCGCATATCTTCCTCTATTGTGGACAACAAATCTCCTTTCTCATTACTTTATCCTGATAAATCGTCATTTGATATCCCTCCTCGTGTCTTTGGTTGTGTCTCATTTATTCATCTTCTTGATTCGGATTGGAATAAACTTTCATCTTACTCAGTTAAGCATATCCTTTTGAGATATTCTCATACTCAGAAAGGTTATCAATGTTATGATCATGTTTCTTGTCAATATTATGTTAGTGTTAATGTTACCTTTTTGAGTCATCTACCTTCCAATCTGTGTCTGGAGATACACTTTCTCCAGACTTAGACTTTCCCAATTAGGGAAAGCCCCTATTGCCTATTATATCAGACTGTGTATCTTCTTCTACAATTACTCTTGCAATTTTATCATTATTCCAAGGACAAACTGATTGGTCCATATGATCTGCCTCTACAACCATCATCTGGTTCTACTGAGAACCAGTCATCTGAGCCATCAAATAACTCATCCTCTTCTAATTTGTATATTGCATTGAGAAAGATATCTATAACTATACTATGCATCCCATATCTAATTTTATTTCTTTGCATCGACTTTCACCATTCTTTCGTTGTTTTTCATCGACTATATCATTTGTGTTTGTTCCTAATTCTTTGACTCAAGCTTTGACATTTCCTGGTTAGATGTCAACTATGTCATTATTTGTTCCTAATTCGTTGTTTTTCATCGACTATCTCCTCTATGTTTGTTCCTAATTCTTTGACTCAAGCTTTAACATCACCTGATTCTACTGAAGACCAGTAACCTGAGCCATCAACTAGCTCGCCATCAACTAGCTCATCCTCTTCTAATTTGGCTATTGCATTGGGAAAGATATTCATAACTATACTATCCATCCCATATCTAATTTTGTTTCTTTATATCGACTTTCACCATCCTTTCATTGTTTTTCATCGAATATGTCCTCTGTGTTTATTCATAATTCTTTGACTCAAACTTTGACATCTCCTGATTAGAAATTGGCTATGAGTGAGAAAATGAAGGCCATTCATGAGAATCAGATGTGAGACCTTACTACTCTTCCTTCGGGTAAATAGTTTGTTAGTTGTCATTGGATCTACAGAGTGAAGTATCATCTCGATGGTTCAGTTAAGCGTTTGAAGGCACGTTTAGTTGCCATAGGCTACACTCAGACATATAGTGTGAATTGAGTTAGACTTTTTCCCCTATGGCTCGTCTTAATTCTTAGAATTTTTATTTTTGTTGCAATTAGTTATATTTAGCCTTTGTATCAGTTAGACATCAAAAATGCATTTTTACATAGGGATCTACAAGAGGAGGTGTTTATGGTACAACCTCCAAGTTATGTTGCATCTGGTAAGGAACAATTAGTGCGTCATTTGAAAAAAGTACTATATAGTCTGAAACAATCACCACGTGTTTCGTTTGATAAGATTAGTATTGTTGTAATTTAATATGGGTTTTAGCATTCTACCTCAGACCATTGAGTTTTTATTCATCTTTCTTCCACAGGTGTTATTTTTGTTATTGTGTATATTGATGAAATTATCATTAGTAATAATGACTCAGATGGTATTGTCCACTTCAAGATCCATTTTGGGATACAATTTCATACCAAATACTTGGGTCTTGTTCAGAATTTTTTTAGGATTGAGATTGTTCAGTGTAAGGAAGTTATCAGTTTGTGTTGTTGGTGTGGTTAGTCAATTCATGCATGCTCTTCACGGGCCTCATTGGGAGGCTAATTGTCATATTGTTTGGTATCTAAAAGGAGCACCTGGTGATGCAACACGTATGGTAGATCAAGACTATCAAAAACAACACTGATCGGGTGTCAATCAGGACTGATTCTGGACGATAGTACTAAAAAATTTTGAAAGACCCCATTCTGAAAAGTTTTTGACGATCTAAGCAAGATTAAAATATTTATCTTTCAACCCGTTATTTTTAAGCCAAGAAAAAACGACGTTTTGAACACTTTTTAGGCACATTTCTATTTTATCTCGTTGTTTGGGTTATTTTCATAATATTGGTTATTTGCTTAGGGATTTAGTAATTAAGGACCATTAGGGCTTTCGTATTTATATTGTGTTGAGAAATTGAATTCAGCAGCTTTTTGATTATTTGAAATAAACTGAGAGACGAATTCTTTTTTCTTTCAATTGACTTAGTATTCTTCGTGAATCAACAAAGCTCCTGACAACTTTAGTCTAGTATTGTTGCAATAATCAACTGGTTGAAGTTTTTGTTGTTTAATCTCGTTTCTTATTCACGCTACCCAACATCACCTAGTAAAAGAGTATTATATCGTTCTTCATCATCCATAACTAGTACTAGCTTTCCTGATGATGACCAAGCACGTAGTCGTGTTGATAGACGATCTACTTCTGATTACTGTACATTCATTGGTGATAATCTTGTTACATGGCGTAACAAAAAACAAAATGTAGTTGCACATTCGAGTGAAGAGGCTAAATACCAGGCCATGACCCATTCTACGTGTGAAATGTTGTATGCTCGTTCTCTACTTCTTGATATGGGTGTCGGTGTACCCTCTCCTATGGAGATACACTGTGATAACCAAGAGGCTATCTTCATTTCTAATAACCAGTGTTTCATGAGAGAATTAAACACATCAAAGTTGATTGTCATTTTATTTAAGATCTATTGATGTGAAAATATATTATCACGCCATACATAAAGTCTGGCGGTCAACTGAGTGACTTACTTACCAAACCATTAACTCAATCTATCTTCACTAATATTAGTTCCAAGCTGGGCATCTTTAACCTTTATGCTCTAGCTTGAGATTGAGTGTTAAAATTTTTATTTTATGTTATTAGTATTGTAGGGTATAAATGTAATTATTCATAATATCAGTTTATTATAAATAAGAGTGTAGGGGAATATAGCTCATGCACAAAATATTATTCCCATTATTTTTCTCTCTTTCTTCTTCTTCCTCTCTTCTTACCACCTCTACAATTTTAACTATCTGAAATATCCTAAGCCAAGGCCTTTCCCAACCACAATCCCACCTACTAATAAGCTATGCCAAAGACAAGGGGCCTGCACAATCTTCTTATTGTAGGCCATCACCAACCTACCTATTTTGTGGATAAGTCAGCACAAGCTACACATCAGTCCAGAACACTATGGTAAGAAATACCATTCAGTTAGGCATTTCCTCAATTTTTTAAAATTGTAAGTATCGTAAAGGTGTTAGAGATAAGCCCGACAGAATATTAAGTCTCGGTAAAGTCTCAGCAAAAGAAGTGTGTCAATATAATATAACTACTGCTCACCACTAACAATAGAGAATTGGAACAATTATTAGGTCATCATGATTAGCCAAAGCATCTAAGTGAGCCTACATAATTTGTACCACGTCAAAAGATCAACAGCCGCATTCCCCCTCTCATCTCTAATTTACAAGCATCATCAATTGTGCAATTGAGTATATGCAGAAGATCGCATACCAACTCTACCAAAGCCATATTGAGTCATTGCTATATGAACTACAAATGTTCAGGGATGTTGCAGCAGGTAATTAACCCAAAAACAATTGGCAATGGCTAAATAGGCCCCCCTCAACCATATAAAACTATCCCTAGGTGCCCATACTATTTCTATAACAAACAAATAGATAATCATGTATAAAAGGAAGTTTAAATGGATAAGAGACTTGACTCATTGACCACTCATGGCCCAACTCCGGTATTGTGTTAAGAGTCATCCAACACAAAACCAAGTAGCAATATATAGAACGGCCCTCAACCCTAAAACACAACCTTAGGCAACCCTAATAGCTTGATAAGTGATACAAGGTCTTTTTACACCCTCTTCACTAGGACCCGAGCTCAAACATAGGGTAACAAATAAACAAACGAACACAAATACCGAAAAATTCAAATGGGTGACAGACTGGGCTCATCAACAACCCAAGACTTAATGCTGATATTATATTAGTTACATCCAACAAACTCAATCGGCAATGGATGGAGAGGCTGGTCAACCATAAAAATCAATCTTAGGTGGCCTTAATATTCGATTTGGGATACAAGTTCTTTTTACTAGTGCTATCTTTATGACAGAGAGTATCCAGGCCTCTTAAAACACCCAAGAAGTCCCCCTTGTGTATGACTCGCCCCATAAGAGCCATGTACCAGGCAAGCCAGGACCAAAGTCTATGTTGGAAGCCCCACAAGGAAACTTCAACCCAAGACCTCCAGCTTTCTTTTGAAGTCGGGAGTCGGTTCCCAACCATCTTGTCTAAATGTGTAAAAGGTCATCAACAGTATGTCCACAATGCAAGTGATAGTATAGCATATTTTTACATTCATGATAGGAATGTATCTGTCATCCAACCTGTTTCCTAGGAAGTGAAACTGCAAAAAATAAGGAAGCTGGTTCCTTCATTAGGAACAATTGGTGCTCTATATCAAAAGAGCATATAGGTCATGCTTCAAGCATTAAGAACCGAGCTAGTCAATACCACTATCATGATCCACTTTGCCTCCAAAGGAGTTTTTCTAATTCCTTTGCTTTTTTTCTTTTTGTCATTATTATTTATTGATTTTTTTTTTTTTTTTTTGTGGACAAGTGCCTAAGAAAGCTCATTTAGCCTTCAAATTAGACACGGCAGAAATGTAGTCCTGCATTCCATCAACCCAAGATTTGATGCTATGTTGAATTCCAATGGCCCCCTTTCTCTAAAAATAACCAAAAAGTAAACACGCACATAAAGACACCAGATCCTGTGAAACCCATCATATCTTATGATGACAGAAGTTCAAGATCCAATAGATTTAACCAACCTTGACAGAATTTCCCACAAGATTTGTAATTATCTGCTGAAACCGCCCAGGGTCACCAATCACGACCTGAGGAACCTTACTGGAGACATAAACAGCCAACTACATTCACCCACAAAACATAAACAACAATATGTAAGAATGGCTATCAGAAGCAATAACTATCCTAAAAAACAATAGAATTAGTTTTCTACCTCAATCCCTTTTTCACAGGATTTGGTCGAGACTTGAGATAGAACATTATCAAGAATGGCACGCAGATCAAAAGTTACAGCCTCAAGTTCAAGCCTGCCTGATTCAATCTTAGCCAGATCCAAAACCTCATTAATCAATGATATTAGATCTTTCCCATTACCATAAGCAGTTTGTGCATAATCCAGTTGATTTGTGTCAAGATTTGTGCCCATAAGCATCTGCAGCATGCCTGAATTTGGAATCCAAAGTTCTATTATGTCATCTATTTTCAAATGTGCATAACACTGTGAATCTAAAAACAATTCAATTACCTAAAACACCATGCATCGGAGTCCGGATCTCATGGGAGACTGTTGCAAGAAACTACGAAAAAGAACTAGTCGACATTAGATTATTGTGGAACTATTACATATTGAAACAAGAAAGATAAGGAAAACAAAAGAAAAGAAAGAACGTAGAAAGAAAAAAGTGAAAATCACAAACTGCTGATGAATGCCACCGAAGAAAAGTAAACTGTGACTCCATAGGATCATATTTTATGAGAAAAGAAAGATAGATGGCAAGTGACAAGAATTTCTGAATATATTTTGACGGTGCAATAATGAAGAGCTCACAAACCATTTGACAAGAAAAAAAGGCACCTGGGATTTTGCTACATCAGCAGCTTCAGCACGAAGTTTGAGCTGCTCCATCTTCTGACAATTTTGCTCTACTTCGGCAATCCTGTTTATGGCTGCAAGAAAGATATAACCGACCAGCAAAGTGATAACAAGAACTCCAAAAGATGCTGTTATCGCAGTCCAAGGCGGAGGGGGTTTCTGCTTGAACCTGTAACCCCAAAGAACCACAACTTATAGATTAGCAAATATGTGGGCTTTCATGGATTTTGCTGACTTGTACACTTAATCCGCAGAGAAACAGACCTGCAATGCATCTCATGCTTCCGAGTCGGATCTCCAAAATCCAGGTTGCTAATGTGCAGTAGTCCAGTGTCAATCACATCAGGACCATACATATTAATTTGTGCAGATCTATTAGTTGTATCATAAACATTCACAACAATGGTCTGTTTGCTGGCAAGCTGATGTAGAAGCTTTTCCACTAGAGATGGAACATCATATGACGCACCAAGATACCTTATTCATGATACGGAGCATACTTTAGCGTATGTACTGTACAAGAAATCAAAAAATTTCAGGCAGATATTCATACCCCAAAGTAGCATTCATGCGTTGCTCTGGCGTAGCATCTGGAGGAAGTTGGGTGCTGTACACGGCAAAAGTAAGTACAACACCCAGGTTTTGGGATTTCAATAGCTTGAAAGGAGATGTTAAAACTCCTTTTCCAGATGCCCTTGCCCGCAAGATGTTCTCTCGATCATCCTATATAACAATGGCGACAACCATGATTTACACTTCACCATTAGAGTAACCAGCATCATGAATAAAAGGAATACTCTATCAAGCACAGGGAAAAAAAAAAGGGCAAACAAAGACGGATGGAGAGAAAAAAGAGGTTTTTTTTTCCTTCTTTTTTGGTTTTTTTTTTTTTTTTTTTGTGGGGGGGTTTGGGGGGGGGGGTAATTGTGGGA